CACCTTAATTAACCTAATATGATTTTCAAATTTGACTAAAATTTGTCTTATTTTTACACTCCATAAACTTTCAAATATCAAAATACAAGTAATGTGTGTAAAGGATAATAATGACTAAATCATCATTATCATTATTAATTACTGCTTATAGTTTATTGTGTAATCCCTTGATTTACTCATTTAGGTTGATAATCAAAAATTTCCCTAATTATTGTCTAATGTACCTAGATATATTCTCTAATGTATCTAGTCATAGTATAATGTTTACTTATATACTATAAATAGTCTTGTATACTCTTCAATATAATTAAGCTTTTCAACATTCTCTTTCTCATAACTCTATCACGGTATCATGAGTTTTTGATCCATCTTTTCTTATTTCCGCTACTACCATGGCTATACTACCAAACCCTTTGCCGACGCCGACAAATTATGGTGACCATATCAAACTTCTTTCTTGGAAATCTCAACCAAAATCACACTTTTCGCTCAACCCTGGCCTTTTGGCACTCCATATTTCATATACCAAGAGATGTCAATTATCATGGTATCATGAGCTATTGATCCATTCTTTTCCCACTTCCGCTACTACATCCTCTTATAATGGTGACCATACTTGTACTCCTTTCCCGGAAAGCTTCAAACCCATATCAAACTTCTGCTCAACTCTACTGACAACCCGTAGTTCATCTACCAAGAGATGTCAATTATCAATTATTTTTTTCTCCAAACCCCTTATGGAGAAATAATCGCTTTTTGCTATCTACCATATATTGCCAAACATAAACTGAATTCCCAAACTCCTCTCTTTTAATGATGATTATATGTAATTCTTCTCCTAGTAAACAACCACAATTTCAACTCCTTCCTCTATTTCTCAATTTTTTTTTTCTCCTATACTGCTTCATGCAACTCCTACCCTCCCCCCCCCCCCCACACACCCAAAAAAAAAAAACCTCCTTTTATACGTTCTTTTTCTTCTTTACAAAAAAAAATCATTTCTTTCTTTCTCTTTATCTCCTTTAAAAAAAAAAGAAAAAAAAAACCTTCTAATGCTCGACTCTCCCTAAATCCTCTCGGAGAATCACAATGTAATGCAACCCTTCTTACCACCATTTCAATTCATACATTGAACAAGATTTGAGATGTTATATCCAAGATTGGTCTCTCATTCCGGACGTCCGTCTTGCGGGGGCGTGTAAAGGATAATGATGATTATATCAATATCATTATTATTATTAATTATTGTTTAGATTATGTGAATTCCTTGATTTACTCCTTTAGGTTGATAGTCAAAGATATCCCTAACTATTAGCTAATGTACCTAGTCAAATGCTCAAATGTATCTAGCCGCATTCTATTACTTACTCATGTATTATATATACTCATGGAATCAAATAATATAAATCAAGCTTTCCAACATTCTATTTCTCATAACTATATATCATGGTATCATGAGCTATTGATCCATTTATTTTTTTTCCGCTTCCATTACTACTTCCTCTTATTCCATGGCTACACCATCAAAACCCTTTGCCGACGTCGACAAATGATAGTGACCATATCAAACTTCCTTCTCGGAAAGCTTCAAACCTCAAACTTCCGTTCAACTCTTTTTAGCACCCCATATTTCATATACCAAGAGATGCTAATTATCATTTTTTTTCTCCGATCCAAACCTCTTATGGAGAAACAATCCTTTAATAATTTATCTACCAAGTGTTGCCGTACATAAACTCAATTCTCCAAACCCTCCCTTATAGAGAAACAATCCCTTTTTGGCCTATGTAGTCTATCTACCAAGTGTTGCAAAACATAAACTCACTTCTCCAAACTTTTACGAAGAAACTCAAACTCCTTTCTTTCAATGATACAAAATGTAATTCTTTTCCTATGAAAATGATCAAATTCCATCCTTCCACTCCTCCGAAAAAAAACCTCCCTCCTTTATACACTTCTTTTTCTTCGTGTAAAAATAAAAAAAAATAAAAAAAAATCTTTCTCTTTTAACTCCTTTAATTTGGTACCTGCAACTCTCAATTGAAGAACCACCAACATCTTGGTATGGCAATCAACAATCAAGAAGGACACTCATTTTACAAGATTGTACTTTCCCTTCATCGATCGTCCATCTTGCAGGGGCGTGTAAAGGATAATAATGACTTAATCGATCATTATCATTATTAATTAATGTTTATAGTTTATTGTGTAATCCCTTGATTTACTCATTTAGGTTGATTGTCAAAGATTTCCCTAATTATTGTCTAATGTACCTAGATATATACTCTAATATATCTAGTCATAGTATAATGTTTACTTATGTACTATAAATAGTCTTGTATACTCTTCAATATAATTAAGCTTTTCAACATCTCTTTCTCATAACTCTATCAACGTGTACTTGTATGAAATCTTAAGTACGGAGTAATTCTTTTTGTTGTTTCTTATAGACTTGAGTTATTAGCTGTGTGGCCTATTGTCTAGTTGGAGGGTGGACTTTTATATCGATCTATGTGTTAGCATTCATCTGGTCCTACGATTGATTACTTACGTGAATCAATTACACTATTTCTACACATAATTATAGATTTTATATATATGGTTGGAGCAAATAATGATAGGGAAAACTGCATCTAATTTCGTACCTCTATTTATAAATGACAAAATTTATTTGGTTTTATATTTAATTTACATCTATTTCCTTACTGATTCAGATGACATTTTGATGAAGATGTAACACGAAGAAAAGGATTTTGCAAATCATATATCTCAGGGCTATTGATATGCTTTTTTATTATTAACTTCCAAAATATTGATATTGATGTATAATGTTCTACACATGCATGTTTTTGTAAATTTGATAAGGTTTTGAAATGACTGATTCATGTAACTTTCAATAAGTTCAACATCTCTAATTTCACTATAATAAGTTCAATTATAAGCTTGAATAATAAGTTCAAACTAGTCAAACTATATCTAATATTAAGCACTCTAATAAGTTAAAAATTTGTGTTGTTCAAAGTATTCAATATTATTACGTGTCTACTTTAAGTAGTTTTTAATAGTATCTCTTAGGATAATGTTTATTATTTTTCTAAGGGTAAGTAAAATTTAAATGATAAGTACTACTACCAATAAGGCAATAATATTAGATACATAATAATAACCCAATTCTACTCTTATTCTATTCAAATTCACACCTTAAATGATTTGGTTTCACATTAACTAATCAAAATACTAATGAATCCTTTGAGTCTTCCCACTGTTGAGTAATACAGTAGTAATACTAATACATGTTATTTGGGTGCTATTGTGATGTCACAAAAAAAGAAAAAAAAAATGCTTTTGGGGTGCTACTCGTTACTAATTACCAATGTCACTAATTCACTATTACCAACATCATTGATTAGATATTAGCTAATCACTTAATTAGTCTTGCAAGTTGCCACTGTCAACAACTTTTGTCATCATTATTGCTCAATGTCTCTATTATTGTTATTGATATAATAGAACTTGTTAGCTTATCAACATCCACTAATTGGTCTTATACAGAGTACTTAATTAGTGTATTAAGTATAGCAAATTAGACATAAATTAATAATTAAGCTCGTCCACGAGATAAATCTGATCTAATTTATCTTTTTGGTTCACAATTTGTTAAAAAGTGAAAATTACTCCGTATTATTTAAAAAGCAAATAGTACAACATTAAAGTTAAAATTTCTTTATCCGTCGTTTAGTTCAAACACTTTAATCCATGTTTTAAGTCATCAAGTGAATGCCAAGTCACAGTGTGGGTTTGCTTTACTGTCACAGAAACATAGTCAAAGAAACTAGGGGATCAAAGAGTTTCCTTTTTAAAGAGAAAAGAGAAAAGAAAAGAAGAAAAAAAAAAAATCCCTAGCAACAAGCATTTTTGTTCAATATTAATTTCATCCACCATTCGAAACATCTTAGTTTTTCAGTGGACCACCCTGGCTATAAAATCTTGAACATGTGGTAACCATATCAATTACGGAGTACATATAAATGCATGATTAATATTAATAATACAAAATGTACTTCAATTACATACTATGTTTTGGCACCAATTATAGCCTCTAGTTGTTACTATTACTTCAATTACTTGTCAATAAAACTATAAAAAAATGCCTTTTAATCGGATGACTAAAATAACCCACCCTGATTTATCATGTTTGATTGTGAATCAACCTGACTCAAAATTTAATTAATTTACAGTAAAAATTTTAAATTTAATACTCCATTATCCCATAATAATTGACAAATTTGTTTTTTTACTAATCATTACGAAAGTAGTTTGATAAGGGTCTTGTTAAAAAAAATATAAAACAATAAAAAAATAAAATTGATAAAGGTTAAGCAAATAAGTCTTTATAAATTAGAGAAAGTATAACCCATAAAAGACAAAAATTTTCCAAAATCAAGAAGCAAATTGGCCATACAAAGTTACAAACATCTTATCAATCAATTCACACCAAAACTTATCCTTAATCCATGGAGTATTTGGTAACGAGTCTCTATATTTAACACTTTATTAGATGCATGGTATCATTACTTTAATGAAATTTAACTACCTTCATAATTACACAAAAATTAATTACGGTAAATTATTCCCATTCGCATTCATTATTTTTGATGTGACATTTCCTTCAATATTCATTTTTTATGTGTAACGGTGACTAAAATGCTGATGTGGCACCCCTTAACCGGTGGAATATATTTATTTTAAAAATCATAGTACTAAAAATCACAAAAGTGGCAGTTATACTTTCCAGAGAAAATAACAAATTATTTCAAAAAAAGAAAACATAAAATTGTTAAAAGACAGCGAGTTTCTTGTTTTTGTTGTCGGTTGTTGTTAAATTGTTAAATTAAAAAGAGCCAAAAATAAAGGGTATTGATTTAATCAATCAAATGAATTTCCAGCAAATTAATCACAAAATTTTAATCAAATGGCTTAAAATTTCCCTCCTATCTTCCTTATTGTGGGGCCTGCTACAGATAATCCCAGCTGTTAGTGGCAGTTCCCACCTTCATATTTCTCTCTCTAACTTTCTCTCTCCTCTCAACCCTTCTTTCCTGGATTTTTTTTTCTCCTCTTTGGCAAGATCTGGGTAAATTGTTCTTATCTTGCCAGGAGAAGAAAAAAGGGGCAATTTTCCCAAATATTAGAATTTAAATTTAATAAAGATTTAATCTTTTTATTATTTTTGTTGGTATTTTAGGATATAATTTGGGAAATAAGAAACAAATTTAAGAGATTTTTGACTTAGATCTTGCCAAAAGAGGAGAAATTCCCAGGTATAATTTCTCATTTAATTTTTATTTCTAGATTTTGGTTTATTTGTTGTAATGCTAATTAAATTGTTACAAGTTTTTTGGGTGTTGGAGATCTTGGCATTTTGGTTTCTGGGTATATTTCATTTCTCCAGAAATTGATCTAGGTTGTATAATTTTCCATTTAGTTAGAATGTGATGATTTTTGTATGAAGATCTGAGATTATTTAATTAATTTTTGGGATTTGGGAGATATATTCAGTTTGATAAGTCAGTGTTAACTGTTAAGTGGGTTTGTTGGTATGTTGGTTCAGCATTGCAATATTATTTCTTTATGTATTTTTATGGTATTGTATATTTTATAGATCTTTTCCTAGGTTTATAAGTTTTAACTATGATTATATCTTTGAAGGAGTCAATGAAAATATAGAAATGTATGTTTCTTTATACAATGAGTGTGTAAATTGTAATTAGGCATTATATTAATATCACTTTGTTGCAATGTTTTCAAGTGGATGTTACCTGTGCTCGGAATCAAATCCCATCTACATTACCGCCCTTTAATTGTCATGGATTAATTTTGCTTGTATGCTTATTGTATTAATAATATGGTAGTTGTAGTATACTAGTATTTGATTTGTGTAGACAATTGTACTGCCATTTATTAGGATTTGTAACTAATTTATTTGAATTTTAATTGAAGGTTGATGAGCTAGGAAATGGGGAAGAAGGGTTGGTTTTCTGCTGTGAAGAAAGCCTTAAGCCCTCAGTCCAAGAAAAACCAGGTTAATTTAAGACTCTTGCTGCTTAATTTTTTAATGCACTAATATAAATTTGTAAGTCACTTTGATTAAGATTTTTTCCTTGTATTTTTGTGTAATAGAAGTCCAAAACCAACAAGAAATTCACTGAGGAAAGTAAGAGCTCTGAGGTTGTTATTTCGTCTGAGCAAGTTACTGCTGCCCCTCCTTCTGTACCTCCCCCTCCTCCTTTGCCTTCAACTGGTGAGACTAAATCAAATGAAATCGATGATGGAAATGATCAGAACAAGCATGCTTATTCGGTTGCGGTTGCCACAGCCGCTGCTGCAGAGGCGGCTGTTGCAGCAGCCCAAGCTGCTGCTGAGGTTGTTCGTCTGACTACTGTACCCCGCTTTGCGGGCAAATCGAAAGAGGAAATTGCCGCTATTAAAATTCAAACTGCCTTCCGAGGGTATCTGGTATATCTCGTTTTCTTGTGCATCTCATATTCTGCCCTTTTTTGTTTTTATGGTGTATAATCTTTTAGCCTTTCCTGCCTCTATGTGTCAATGTGTCAACTTTACCAAATTATTTGAAGATGTATCATATATGGGTTTCATCAGTTGAAGGGTGAAATTGTGTGTATTAGAAGTGGATGCTTTCAATGATTGAGGTGTGTATTTAGGAAATGTTTCATTTAGGATAGTACTGAGACTTTGTCATATGTTTTATCGTCATGATGAAGTATAATTAAGATTACCTTACAGAAGTAGGCTCTTCACGTGTTAGTAATTTAGAATCTTACTTTGGAGGTTTATTAAATCAATTTGCACATATTATTCACTAGATGCATGAAGAGTTAGTGATATGATTGTTATTATTTGTGTGCTTCAGCAAGTTTACTTTGGGTGATTGAGAATTTATTTCAAAGGAAATATGTTCATATTATTTGTTTTGACCAATGTGTAGAATGAGGCATTTCGCATTTTAATTTGTTAAGACTAGATGTGGAAGGTATGTAGAGCATCAAAATGCATATGTTAATATTCAGTATTTAGTTTTATCTGATCGGAAGAGCTTGTGACCAGGCAAGGAGAGCTCTACGGGCTTTGAGAGGGTTGGTGAGGCTTAAATCATTGATCGAAGGGCAGTCTGTGAAGAGACAGGCTGCAACAACCCTAAGGTGCATGCAGACACTTGCCCGTGTGCAATCCCAAATTCGTGCTAGGAGGATGAGGATGTCAGAGGAGAACCAGGCTCTTCAACGGCAGCTGCAGCAGAAGCATGAGAAAGAGCTTGAGAAATTGCGAGTAAGTTTGTCAAATTACCTCTTATTTCCTTTTCATTACCAATTTACTTTATTAATTTTATTTAGGTGATAACATGAAACTTGTGCCCCTTCTAAAGGATTTAAATTTCATGTACAAAAGTTAAAATGGCAACTGTAAATCATTAATAAAGTTTGAAGTTCAAATTTCTCCACACTAAAAAAATAATAAATATGGTTGAGGTCAAGATAATGTTCCAAATTCATCACGATGAGTTTGTCCTGTATTTTACATAGCAAGAGTGTCATGTCCTTCAGGGAAAGAATTCATGAAGTTACATGCAAGTCAGATGAGTAAATTTCTTTCGATAAGGTTTAGAAGTCAACTAACTTATATCCCATTTCAGATGGATGAAATATGGGATGATAGCACTCAGTCTAAAGAGCAGCTTGAAGCCAGTATACAAAGCAAGCAGGAGGCTACTATGCGAAGAGAAAGAGCATTAGCTTACGCATTCACTCATCAGGTATTATAATGTCTTCAAGACTTCAACATTATGTTTCAATTGTTTGGATGTTAAATTTCATCTTTTTGTATTTTGTGGGAGAAAAAACAGGAAAAAAGTCAATGTCTAGGCATGTCATGTAGATGTATGAATTTAGTCTTGGTGGATATGAATTATTTTTATCTAGCTTGAAACATAGTCCTAATTTATTTGTTCTATGTGTAGAAGGCTACTTAATCATTTTGGTTTAATTGACTTAATTGGATCTTCTACTTTTGGCAGCAACTTAAGAAAAACAACAAAAATTCAAACCCAACATTCATGGACCCGAACAATCCTCAGTGGGGCTGGAGTTGGTTGGAACGATGGATGGCTGCCCGACCATGGGAGGGAAGAAGCACAACAATGGATAAGGAAACTGACCAAGGCTCTGTGAAGAGCTTCCGTACACTCTCTGTCGCGGGTGAAATAAACCGAGCATATGCTCTTCGGGACCTTAGTGTTGACAAGCCTTCCCCAACTGGTCAAAGGTCAAGCCGGCCTCCAAGCCGCCATTCTCCTTCGACCACCGGGCGTGCCCCATCTTCAGGCCCAGGATCCAGAAAACCAAGACCCGAGAGCCCCAAGGCAAATGGGTGGGCCCCGGAAGACGACACGAGGAGCATGATGAGCATCCAGTCAGAACGTTACAGGAGGCATAGCATTGCTGGCTCATCAGTGAGGGATGATGAGAGCCTTGCGAGCTCTCCTGCAGTTCCGAGCTACATGGCATCAACAAAATCCGCAAAGGCCAAGACAAAGCTTCCAAGTCCCTTGGGGGTAGTTGAGAGTAACGGTACCCCACCTGATTCGAAGCCGCCATCTGTGGTTGGGGGATCTGCCAAAAAGAGACTGTCTTTCCCTGCCTCTCCAGGTCCTCGGAGGCATTCAGTCCCTGGGAAATTCGAGAGCACACCAGTGATTCGTACTGAGATAGCTGTCGGCAATGGTGAGAGCCGGTAGGCAAATTACATCAGGATCAAGACATTACAGTGAATTCGGCTGTTACCACAAGTCCACAACACAGGGTCTCTAAATTGTTATCTTCTGAGTTTCATGTGCAAAAAGGAAGGAAGATAGAATAAGAAAAGGACTGCTGTAGGGGATTGTTTGGCAATTGTTTGTATTTGTTATTGATTTGTTGTTCTTTCTACACAGAAGAAGAGCTCTTTTCAATTGTCTTATATTTCTCATCATTAGGGAGTTTCATCTGAGTTAGTCAAATTTGTATTGTAATAATTTATATAAATTTGTTTCTTTTCACATTTTGTCCTGAACCACAATTTGTTGTTTATTCGATATATGTTGTAACTTCAAATTTTCATGGAAGATAACTTCTTGAAAGGATGTACTCTGAAATATATGTATGTCTTGCTCAGCTTTCAGTAGCAGTAGTTTTGCACAATCAAGAGTCCCAATTCTGATATGTTTTCCATTTCACAGAAACTTGTGCGTGACAGTCTCTGGTATCTTTGGGACATGGTGACTGATGAGACTTTCGAGTAGTAGAAACATGACACTCAGTAACCTAATTCATCAGTTATATCATTTTATGTAAAACCAATAGTCACGCTAATAGCGTAATTGAAAGTATAGAATTAATAGAATGTGACAACTAAATTCATATCGTAAATTATTTATCTGGCCAAGAAAATACGTTTTATAGTAAAATGTCAAATAGGCTGAGGTAATTCTGTAGAAAAGTTTTAACCAAAAAAAAAAAAAAAGTAGAAAAGTGTAAAAGGAAATGCTTTGCTTATGGAGTCAGTGACAATAAAAGATAAAGGGAGCAAATTAAAAATTCCAACAAGATCTAGTCTACTGTGACAGTGGTTCAACTGACCTCTTTTGAGTAAAGGAAACTAAATGACTCTTTCCACCTCTTTCTCTTATCTGTTTGCATTTATAGAAACTTCATGTTAACGCAAAGTGGAGGGGGAAGAATAGAATTTCATCATTCACAAAAGCTTACCGTACTAGATGTACATGTGAGCTAATGGCTCATCCATTGTAATATTATTTGCATTGTAAATATAAATTATGTAATCCTTTTTGAGGCCGATTACTACTTTGTGAAAGTGGTCATTTGAGTGGACGTAGTGATTATTTTGACGAAGGCCTATATTTAGGCCCCGTTTGGTTTAATGTAAAACATTATCAATGAAAATTAGTTTAAAGGAAAACATATATTCAAGTAAAAGCACATTTTCAAATTAGTTTTCTTTTATTTGGTTGCATATATGGAAAGTTAAAGAAGGGAAAAAAAAAATAGGAGTGAGAATGTGAGAATAGATAAGAGGAAAGTAAAGAAGAGGTAAGGAGGAGGAAGAAAAATATAGCTTCACTTGTTTTGTGAAGGAAAATGTTTTTCATCATTAATAATGCAATTTTCTATCATTGGGATATTTTCCACCTCTTCACAAACCAAACAAAAGAAAATGGAAAAATCATTTTTCATGAAACACATTTTACGTCAAATCAAATGGGCCCTTATATAATTCGTACGATGTAAGTAGGACATATTAGTGATTAAGACTTTTAAAATAAGCACATGTTTTTAAAAAAGACATAAACCTTTGTTAATAGAAGTTGATTTTTAATTTTTTTTTTTTAGAGGGGAAGAATCTGGGGAGGGGGTGGAGCTTTACTAAATCACATAATCAAAATTTGAAAAGTTGAACATTACTTAAATTAAATAAAATGTGTACATGATAAATTCAATAACTACAAAATATTAACTTTTGGATAAAAAAAAATAGAAATGTGGCCTAGATTTAGTCAAGGGCATAGGAAGTATTTAACATGTTGACAATTAATCCATTTAATATACTTACAACTTAGCTCTTTAGCATGCACTTTGAGAAAGAGATTTAAGAGGCTAACAAAAATCTAAATAAGTTAAACACTTGTAAAAGAGGTGTGTTAGGTTAGATTATTATATCTTGTTGATTTCTTCATTTGTTATCTCATACTCCATATCTTTTTCTCAAAACTTGTGCAAGAGAGCTTGATAGCAATTATGATGAAACAATAATGAATTAGAATATAAATTTAATTAAAGAAACCCATTAGAAGAACTATTGACACATTTTTTATCGTGCGTTTTTAAATTACGTACAGATTTATAGTACTATATAAAGAGTAAGCACTTCTTGGTTGATAAATTTTGCTTTTCCTAAAATACCCTTTTATATTTTAAAAAATTATATTTTTTTACCCACAATTAAAAATTAAGTCTTGTGAAATAAAAGGAAAATGAGAGAAATTGGGGAGAGAATAGATCTGTATATTATTCCATTGAGTAAGAGATATATATATATATACACATATACAATAGCTAGGGTTTTCTTAGAGAACACTAAACCCTAAACCTATAATATTCCAGAAAGTACAAGAATATAATGGACATCCATAAATATTTCATAACACTCCCCTTTGGATGTCCATTATCGAAAAGTGTGCCTCATTAAAACCTTACTACGAAAAACCCTATGGGATAAAAACATAGTGAAGGAAAAAGAGTACATCATTCTTCGTAATACGCTTGCAATGCTGCCTCATTAAAAACCTTACCAGGAAAACCCAATGTGGGACAAAACCATGGTTAAGGGAAAAAGAGTGCAGCACGTATTTTCTCCCCCTGATGACTACATAGCTTGATATCTTCTAGTGCAATGAATCTAATATGGTTGGATATCTTCTCATATGTAGTTGAATATCATTCCTTGATCATCGATCCTGCTAAACTGAATTTGCATCTTCAAGTCTTCACATGAACATGTAAAGTGTCTTTATTTCACCGTACATGTGTTTAACTCTATATCATTCCAAATCTCTATTTAATTAAAGTTGCCTTAATAGTTAAACTTATGCGATTAGGCCTTCTTCTGGAGGTTGTGAATAATGGAAATTGATGAACATTACTTGATCAAACATTCATTAATGTCGTTCTTAAATCTCATATGAATTATAACACATGTAATTATATACACGGATCATGGTTCTTCTGGACCATAAGAAAACATTCTCACGCATAAGTATCCCGTTGATATCCTTTAGACGTTTCATAATTAATACGATAGTTTTCCTGCGAATTCAAATAGTAAATCTCACTAACTCTCATATGCTCAAACTTCAGGTTGAGATGTCAATGATGTAGTTTCAAGAGTTTGATAATAATTGCAATATTCAAAATATAAAATTTGTAGGGCTGGATATATAAATATATCGTACATAAGTTTTTCAGGAACTCTTCTTACATGATCCATAAAATGCTATAAAATCGACGTCATCAATAATTTCATCACAACTATAAGCCCATTGGAATATAAATATTTCTTTGTAATTTTCCATCAAAGTTACAAATATGCCTTACTATACTTTGAACAAACATTTACATATACCAAAAATTATTGTATAAAAACTAATGCAGCAATATGAGATATAGAAGACAAAATATATAATGAGTAATGCATCTAACAATTTTTGATACATGCAATGAATAATACATTAACCTAGACTCACACATGCATATGAACATACATAAGACTCAAAATAATGCAAGACACTGCACAGTGTGGATTTTAAAAACCATATTTCATTGGACTTCTAGTCCGTGATAAACTTATGATGATTATCATTATGTCGACATCAAAATGGACATATATTCCAGATCCCTTATTCACTAGTCCATTCTATCATGCGTATGCATTATTTATCGGTTCCATCATATACCAGTATCATCATATAATTCTTCAAGGTACAATTTTAATTTGCATGCTATTTTTACAATGATATCTGAATACATTTTTCATTGGTACCATCATAATTTTTCTTACATCATAGGCCATCTATTGTAATAATTCAAATATCTATACCACTTTTGGGGTATTTATATACTATTACACTATTAAAAGTGTTAATTGCACTATCTTGCCACATATCATATCTATATTTTGGAACCGATCATACAACCCACACTTCAGGTGTAGTGATTCATGTATAATTGACAAGATTTTATCTCAATGTATACACATAATTTAATATGACCAAAATGTATCTTCAACGCTATGCAACATGAGTCATAACTGAATACAAATCAAATCATAAATGTGCAACATATCTTGATAATATATAGACTAAAGTTGGCATAATAATTTTTCAAACTACCATTATAGGGATCATCAATTTATTTTTTTTCGAATTTTCCAACTTTTGCTAATTCTTCTCCCCTTAAGTTGGTAAAATATCTCATTTATAGGGGCATCTAAATATATACCAACTTAGTATACAAATTTGCATTAAAATTCATTTTATTAGGACGATCACAATCAAAATTTATCTCTCAGAAGATTTGTATTAAACAAATTTTATCTCTTTTGAAGAACAATTTCTATGAAGAATCATTTCTTCATTAACTTTACATTGCATGTGTATTTATTATTACACTTTCCATAATATGTTCTTTTCTTGAAATCAATGTCATTGGGGAGACATGTGTTGTGCAATTGTATGTTTTTCCTTCTTTTTCAATTTCTTATGTGCTGACATATAATAACCCCAATCAAAAGAATTGTTATACAATCATAAATCACTGTCTTGTAATTCTAATAGGTAGTGATCTTCAAGATCTTTTAAGACTTAAACATATTATATTTGGTAAGCTTCTGGTCACCTAATAGTTGACAATAATATATAAGTTATTCTGGTGAAATTCTGGTCACCCATTACTCTTTCGTATAAAAAAAAAATCAAACCCTATTAACTCTTAAAAAATTTCATCAATACAAATTATTATAAAATCACTATCCAAATATAGTTCAATCTCAATGTTATGTCTTGCCATTCAATTCATTTCATATATCTAACATTGAGAGAGCGTCAGCACATTATCAAATGAAACTTCAGGTTTTCATAACGAGTTATTGAACCCGGATGGCCTAAACTAATTATCACATCCAACCGTTTACCTAAATTTAAATTATGGTTAGTTTTCCAATACTAGTGATAACTTTATGAGACATAATTTATGCATGGCCATGAATATGATGTGATATTAAAACACCAACATGTGTTTCTTTATATAATTGGCAAGACAATTAACTAATACTTGATCCAATATGATTTTAAACTCTGTTAGAGCTTTGACTATAATCTTGATACATGCTAAGCTTGTTGGACATTCCATACTCTTCTGGAGTATTCTATATATAATCATGGACTCATGGTATATGTCTATTTTACTAAACATAATCTCTTCTAAAGATCTATTAGAATGTATTACTTCCTCAAATTTATCATTTCAATAGTGGCTCCTTTCCTTTTTTTTTCGAAGGTTCTTATATTTTAAATCTGTTGGACTACCATGCTTCAGACGTG